GGGGGGGGGGGGGGAATGATAAACCTCGGCAAACGTGGCCACCATGCTCTGTTGACTAGCATGGATGACGATAGCGACCATGGGTGGATGGAATAGTTCGTTGCAATTGTCACCAATAATATCATTCCGTCAACGACATCATTGTCACGACCTCAGTTCGCCCTCTGTGAACTATCGTGACGGCACCTAGTCTCTACAACTAGGTAAGCCTAACAATTGCGGAAAAAGGAAAAAACAAAAGATAAAAATAATAAAATCTGCGGAATAACATAATAAAAGCTTAAGATGCCGCTCGGCATATACAAACATAACTCTCAACTGAACATCTTTCCAAAACCCGAAAACCCATGAATCACAAGCTATGGATACTACAATATTGTGTTCTCTAACTATCTAAATCAAAATAAGTACAGAAGGGCTAAAACAATAAGAGAGAATGGAAAGGGACTCCTCGGTCTGCGGAAGCGGCAGATATACCTCGAAGTCTCTAGAGAATCGCCTCGCCTCAAGGGTAGTATGGCTGAGTCGAAGTACCTGGATCACGAAAAATTATGAAGTGCAAGGGAAAAAGGATGTTGCGTATGAGTAAAATTCTGGCGGCTAATTTCATGACCATGATTCCTCGCCGGCAAAAGCTGTGTTGAATCGTGGGATGACGCGTGTTCGGGACATTAAATGCAGAGAGACGTGCGTCTAATCAACCGTCAGAAGCCTTCATAGGGAGTTATAGAAATTCCCGCCAAAAGAGTGTTTCTACCAACTTCTCTGTAATACAAAGTTATGTAATCGGAAAGCAGTGGGGACTATCTTTATAGGGTAAAATATGATATGACGCGTGGTCGTCTAAAGAAAGGACACGTGGAACCCAAGATGGGGATGACCGAAGACCCAACACAGATATTCCGCTTGTCACCGGAAGGGATAACGTTCATAAATGTGTATTAAATGCTCTGCGCTCGGTAGCATTTAATAAAGAATATTCTGTGCCATTAAGAGTGACCACTCGTTACAAGAAATTTGGCAATTATGTCTACCGTTATATCTCCATCAATGACGCTCATAGTTGACATTAAAGGAGGGCACGATCCTAGGACCTCTTTCCCTAGACACAGTTATAAATAGTGAGCTTAGTTATCATTGTAAAGGAACGAATCTTCTAGAAAACTTACATTACATTTTATACAAAGCTTAATACAATTTTACTTTCTCACTTTTTGATTTCAACATTGCTGTGCCCGAAAACCTTGTTCCCAGAACTGTCATCTCTGCTGTTTTATCTACATTTTAAGGCTAAGTATTGCATAATTCTTTACTTATTTTATTATTTTCAGGATCAAATTAGTTCATTTATCTAGAAACCACTTATAAATTCAATTGTACTGTTTTACAGGTAAACAGTACCATTTTGCGGGTAAATAATAATTTCAAGGAAAAATATGTAGTACCTTTCAAGTATCAAACAAAGTTTCAGCTGGAACCTGGAAACATGAATATGAAAATATAATCTGATCAATGTGTACTGCATGATCTTTTCTTGTCTTTTACAAAATTTAATTAATAGGAAATTTGGGATATTTGTACGAACCATATGCACCTTTCTGAAATTTTGGCAGGAATTGCCTCCTAAAAATCCCATCCCCATCTGATGTCTCGTGTGGCTTATAATTTATTCATATTATATAACCTTTTTTGAAGATTCATCAATTATTCCATACTTCCATTATTATTGAAGTTACAATTATTATTTCTAAANAAACCTCAAACTACCTGCATGATGAGGCCATATCATATAGTATCAACCAAATAATGGAGTACAAAGGTCTAGCCTTCACATGTAATTATTTGAATCTTCTATGACATTAATATTTAACAATACAAAATTTTCATTTCCTTTCCATACTCATTTTTAGTTTTAAATTAAATATCTTAAAATATTTGATATATATATATATATATATATATATATATATATATATATATATAGTAATAATTTATTCTATTGTACAGCTTTCAATAGTTGCAAGAATTTAATTTCAACTAAACAAAATCAAATTAATTGGGACCATTTGTCATATTTATCCACAAAACCGACTTTTCATGTACTTAATTTAATGTGATATCAAATTAAATTGATTTTTTAGGTTCTTTGTCTAGTTAAATGTTGCCGCACAAAATTGATCCAATGAGTTATATTCTTCTTTGCCTATTCTTTTAATAGTCATATACGTTTACTTTGTATGCGTGTGCATGTAGAACCGTATTTCTTTGTATTCTTCTTAAATCTTCTATTTTTAATCTTTGTATTTAATACAACTTGCGTAAATGTCTAATATTAACAAGTTGTGTCGTGATCAATCTGAATCAGCACTTGTGTCTAATCACATTTTTGAATCATATTAGACGTTACATTATGTTGCATCACACATCAAACACCAACAATGTGATGTGTCTTAGCAAGAAAATCAATAAAAGTGTAGAGATTGGTGTTTGAACAGTAAGCTATTTAAAATGTACACTTCTAGAAGTAGTTAGAATTGTTAATTAGCACATGTGTAAAGTGTTAGTTAGTTAGTTGGGTGCATTAGTATAAATGCACAGTTACTGTACATAAGGTTAATAGTCTGAATGAGAATCATACAGTTTTCTCTCTCTAGAATCTTCCTCTTCTTCACTAATAGCTTGGAGCTCTCTAATGGCTTCCCTGTGGCTAGCTTTAACTTGGTATCAGAGCCATGGTGCTCGGCGATTCTGATTGAGGGGCTCTGATCTTCAAATTTCAAAATTCCTCTCTTTCTTCTTTGATTTCTCTCAAATTTACCTCTCAAGCTCAATTTTGAGCCCTAAAACTTCCAAAACTGTCTTCAATGGCAAATGATACAGTTGATATAACAGCTGGATCTTCACATGCAAACAATCAAAACATTGATTGCAATGATACTTTGTATGTACATCCCTCTGATACAGCTGGCTTAATCAGATCGTTCCACAATTGCTCATAGGAACTGAAAATCACTCGGAATGGAGTCGATCTATGAAGATGCCACTCCTTGGGAAGAACAAATTGGGGTTTATTGATGGAACATGTACCAGAGATCTGTACATTAACAATGCCTTCCAGTTGCGTCAGTTGGATCGATGCAATGCAATTGTTCAGTCGTGGATAATGAGTTCGGTGGCAAAGGAACTTAGAAAAGCTATTGTATTTTCCTCAAATGCACAGAATGTCTAGATTGTGTTGAAAACTAGATTTGATAAGGTAAATGCAACAAAAATTTATCATATGAATATGGAGAATAGCTCGTTGGTACAGGGAGTTTCTAGTGTATCAGTATACTTCTCCAACTTAAATGATTTGTGGAATGAATTTGAGTCTTTGATTCCAGAGCCTTGTGATTGTAAGAAGTCAGGACCATTTATTGAATTTTTATGCCAACAGAAACTCATGAAATTTTTTATGGGATTAAATGACACTTATGCACCACAAAGGAGCCAAATTCTCATGATGCATCTAACTCCCTCTTGATCAAGCCTACTCCATGATTATTCAGGAAGAAAGTCAGAGGAACAATGGTCTAGCAATACAGAATGGAATATTTGGAAGTGCTCCTGTGGATATTGACCATGCTGCACTAACTTCTGCTAATGCCTTCAATGTTAAACCTAAAAGAAATGCTGGGGGTATACTGTGATTACTATAAAATGAAAGTCCATACAAAGGAAGGATGCTACAAATTAATTGGATACCCTCCTGGATTCAAGTTCAACAACAGGAGAAGAGGACCATATGAACAATCAACAACTGTAGCACATAATGTGACTGTTGGAGAGGAGATTAACACTGGACTGCATAGGAGTGCTGTACCAACTGTCCAACCTTTTACTGCTGAACAATATCAACAAATTATCAACCTGCTGAATAAGGAGAAGGGACATGCAGACTCAGCCAATATGGCAGGTAATTCTACCACTAACCAAGGACCTTGGATTATAGATACTGGGGCTTCTAATCACATAGTTTCTGCCTTACATCTACTATCATCAGTATACCCTGTACCTGAACTTAAATCACCTACTGTACAATTGCCAAATGGAAATAATACTAAAGTTACTCATATTGGACCATGTACCTTGCCCAATTCAGAAGTCCTTTATGATGTTCTTTATGTTACTGAATTTCATTTTAATCTACTCTCTGTTTCAGGATATACAAAAAATTTAAACAACTCAGTTCCTTTCTATCCAGATTTTTGTGTCTTTCAGGACCTCTTCAGTGGCATGGTGAAGTGGATTGGTAGATTCAAGGGTGGTCTCTACATCCTCAATCCCTCAACACCTGTTACTACTTCTGCCTCTAACCATGTGTCTGCTTCAGTTCAGTCAAACTCCAGTGTATTGTGGCACCAAAGGTTGGGTCATGCACCCATTGCAGTATTGAAAAAAATCCCTGATCTACATAAACAATTATCCTGCATTTCTACTTGTCATTGTCCTGTATACCCACTAGCTAAACAAATTAGGCTACCTTTCACTGTTAGTTCTTCCAAATCTAATTGTGTTTTTCAACTTGTCCATATGGATGTGTGGGGTCCATATAGAGTCTGTACTTACAATGGATTCAAATATTTTCTTACTCTTGTTGATGACTATTCAAGAATGACTTGGACTTTCCTCTTGAGATTAAAGAGTGATGTGTATGTTATTTTAACCGAATTTTTGCACCTTGTTGAAAATCAGTTCTCAACCACTGTTAAAGCCTTTGGATCAGATAATGGCCATGAGTTCTTTAATACTCTCTGTTCTAATCTTTTCAAAACTAAAGGAATCATTCATCAGAGTAGCTGTGTTCACACTCCACAACAAAATGGTGGATTGGAAAGGAAACACAGACATATTCTAGACATAGGAAGGGCCTTAAGGTTTCAGGCTAACATACCCTTGA